CTGAGGTCACAAGCTGTAGAGCTGGATGAACACAGCAGGCCAAGCAGCAGAGGAGCAGGAAGGCTGACGTTTCGGGCCTAGAGAAGGGTCCAGGCCCGAAAAGTCAGTCTTCCTGCTCCTCTGATGCTGCTTGGCCTGCTGTGTTCATCCAGCTCTACACCTTGTGACCTCAGTATCTCTCCATTCTGTTCTCCTCTGATCTCCTGAGGAAGGGAGGTGTTTCAGGGCCTTCTCATTCAGTGACAGCATTCTTTGCATCATATAACACAATGTGCACCAAATGACCATAATGAGACACCTTGGCTGGTTAGAACTGGACGGCTTCTGTTGTAACACCTCTGCACAATGGCTGGGAACTAGGCAGATGTCAGGAGTCACCTCAAAAAGGGTGACCCTCATTCCTCAGCAGCTACCTATGGAATCTGGAGGTTGGTGTGAAAGGCTGCAGCACCTGGGACACGAACTATAAAAGCATTAGGACAGCTAAGCAAGTTGCCATAATACTACTGGGCCATTGGGCTCCGTGACAGAGATTGCCGACCAGCAGTGGATTAATCCAAAGATCACCACGACTCAAACAAGAGGTTGAGGAGGAGTCCTTCACAGTAATCTCAGATGGTGCAGGAGTTGGATCCACTCTGCATAGCCAGTCAATGAGTGGAGATTTTTTTGGTCAAGAATCTGGCCAGCTAGTCCACTGGTGTCTTGATGTACAATAAATGTTCAGTGACAAATCCTGATGCTGTCTCCATCCTGGTCAACTACCTCAAAATTAATGCAGTTCTCAGTTTGTTGGAATCAGGCATTTGTTGAGGAGACTGACTGCATGATGTTCAGGTGCTGACCTCAAGACAATGCTCGGATCTACATGTGGAATGATGTGTAGGTATATAAAAATTCAATGCTATAGCAACTTTTATGCGTGCAGGTGAGGAATACCATGGGGGCCACAAGGTCCTATGTCACAGCCGATCACACTCCGATCAACTACATGGAAAGACACAGAGTCTCCAACAGCAGTGATGCACTTACACTTACAGATATAGTTAGCTATTGGGCAGTATAACCAATGCCTTGGGTAACATCTTCATCCCTTGGCAACTCCTGGCAGTTCTTTAGCCTCTCTGAACCAGGAGCTGCAACTTGTCCTCATTATTCTATCCAATGTCAGAATGGCTGGCTACCATCTCTACTTCCTGATACCACCCTTTCCCCACCCCCTCCCTTACAAGTCAGCACCTGCTAGTCCCTCTCAAGTGCCAAGCCTTCATTGTTCACGAATACAATTCTTACAGCAGTAAAACTTGAAATTCTGTAACTGCAGCTCAAGTTTCTCTCTCATTTCACACAACTATTGAGCAACATGTTCTTTGGCACTCATGGTTTGTGAAGACATTTCGGACAGCTGTTCCACGTTTTTCTCGTGACTCCCAACTGGAAACATCTCAAGTGGCTGTTAATGAGGTTGACATTCCGTTAATTTGAGGCACGTTGGTTGCTGACCCTCC